ACTGTATTGAAAAGACGTAGTGTCTCGCTTGGGACATCCTTATTCTTATTCAGGAGTCGCTCTTCTGGCGCTCTGGAGTCGCGCTTGCGCTGGAGACTTGCTTGCAGTTTACTCCAGAATCGCGCTCTTGCGTTGGAATTCCCTGCAAATTACTCAAGCGCCGCGCTCCCGACACCCAGGCACCCAGGAGTCGCGCTCACGCTAAGGACTCCATCGCAGCTTTCTTGAGAATGAGGATCTCGCTACCCTTCGTGTCCCCGTTGCAGCCCCGCGTGTCCCCCCCGCTGCCCTTCGTGGACCCGTTGCAGCCATTCGTGGCCCCCTCGCTGCCCTTCGTGACCCCGTTGCAGTCCTTCGTGGCCCCCTCGCTGCCGTTCGTGGCCCGTTGCAGCCCTTCGTGGCCCCCTCGCTGCCCTTCGTGGCCCCCTCGCTGCCCTTCGTGGCCCCCTCGCTGCCCTTCGTGGCCACATTGCAGCCCTTCGTGGCCCCCTCGCTGCCCTTCGTGGCCCCGTTGCAGCCATTCGTGGCCCCCTCGCTGCCCTTCGTGACCCCGTTGCCGCCCTTCGTGGCCCCCTCGCTGCCCTTCGTGGCCCCGTTGCAGCCATTCGTGGAACCCTCGCTGCCCTTCGTGGCTCGTATATGCATGCCCTTCGTGGCCCTCGCTCGTTCGCGCCCGTGGAGGCACAATCTGCCCGCGCTTCGTGGCCCCGCTGTCGCCCTTCGCGGCCCAATCGCTTCCTTTCGTGGCCCCGTTGGCCCCGCCCTTGCCCTCTGCGGCCCAATCTACGCACGCCCTTCGTGTCCCCCGCTCGTTCGCGTCCGTCGTGGCACCATATACGTGCGTTGCGCGGCCCCGCTGTCGCCCTTCGCGGCCCCCTCGCTGCCCTTCGTGGCCCCGTTGTTGCCTTGAGTGGCCCCGCCCTTGCCCTCTGCGGCCAAGTGTACGGATGCCCTTCGTGGCCCCCGCTCGTTCGCTCCCGTCGTGGCCCCACATGCGTACCCTTCGTGGCCCCGCTGTCGCCCTTCGTGGCCCCCTCGCTGTCCCACGTGGCCCCCGTTGCTGCCCTTCGTGGCCCCGTCGTCGCCCCCTGTGGCCCCGCATAATCTGCCCCTCGTGGCCCCCGCTCGTTCGCGCCCGTCGTGGCCCCATACGCATGCCCTCAGTGGTCCCGTTGTCGCCCTGCGCGGCCCCCGTCCTGCCCTTCGTGGCCCCGCTGCCGCTGCGGCTCTCGCTCTCGCCCTCGCTTTCGCTCGTCGTCGTCGTCGTCGTCGCGGTCGGTCCCCTGTCCGTCCCTCCTGGGGTCGGGCTGCCGCCGATCAGCGCTGCCGCTGGCCAGGCCGACGGCCCGCGGCCGCCACGCCGCTTGCCGGGGCTTGGCCTGCCAAGAAAAAACATACCCCCCAAAAGGGGCACGATCGAAGACGAATGGGGGCGGGCATGGAGGGTTTGGAAAATACACTGTGGATGACAGTCGAGCAAATAAGGGCGATCAATCTTGAAATGATTGCTGTTCGTGTTGTTGTGTTTGTTGTTGGGCCTCCTTTCTATAGAATAACTACTGCTGATCTCCGGAAACGGGTCCAGGCGCTCTCGCCTCGACGCCGGCTACAGTTTCTCTGAAAGCGAGGCTCCCGCTCGAGCGTTGGCTTGAGCCTACATCTGGGCCCTTGGAGGCCCAGCTCCGACAACAACGGCTCCCGTCTACGACTTCCCCACAATTTACCCCGAGACACCCTGGCCAGAGAGGTCCCCGAACTCAGGAACGGCGCTCTCGCTCGAGGCTTCCTCGCAATTCACTTCAGTCGGCGGAGGCCCAGCCGCGACGACAATGGCTCCTACTCGATACTTCCTCACGATCTACTCCGAGAACCCTTGGCCAAGAAGGCCCCCAACTCAGAAACGGCGCTCTCGCTCGAGACTTTGCCGCAATTCAGGCAAATTGGTGGAGGCCCGGACACGGCGACAAGGGCTCCCGTGGGATATTTCTCCATCGGTATTCCGAAAGCCCCTGGCCAGGGAGGCCCCCGAGCTCAGGAACGGCGCTCTCGCTCGAGATTTCTTCGCGCTTCAGTCAGTGGCCGACAAAGACGAGATCCCCCCCGAAAAAGGTACAATCGAAAACGAAGTGGGCGGATATCGAGGGTTGGGGTATACGGAATGCAAGACACGCGTGCCAGTAAGAGCGAACAGTCTGAAAATGATTGTTGTTGTTGTGCTTACGTTTTCCAAAAAGTTACCTGGGCACCCCCGACTCATTTTAGGCGAAAGTATGTGTGACTCTTGGACCCAAGCCATGTTTTTAGATGTTCGAACCGAAGTTCTCTCCACCCTGCCCTGGGCCTCTCTCAAAACCGAATTACGGTCTGGCCTTCGTCCACCTCGCATCTTTCGGATCCGTCAGTTTTCCTGGTCGTCTTTGCAGTGTTGCAGTGTCAAGACTGTCCTGGGATGTCGGCTGGCCCGCTCGACTGAAAACTCCGTTGCAACATTGCGCGTGTGGGCCATCGCTACGGCGATGCTGGCGATGCAGTCGAGCGCGGCGCAACATCTCGCTCGCGTGACCGTCATACCGCAAAAACGGCTACAGCAGCGTAGTCATCTAAGTCCGCGGTGCCCGACCGACGCCTAGTCCCAACACGTATCCGGTGCGCCACATTGAAGGGGCCCTGAGTCACAAAAATAAATACACACAGATAAAAGGATTCCCCATATTTTCCTATGTTTTCTGGGTTTTTGTCTTTCCCCCCACTTCCCATATTTTCCCATATTTTCTTGGGGATCGACGATTAATTGTGTCTGTGTGTTTTTTTCCCTCCTGACACATGTAACGTGCATGTATACCACGATGCGGCATTTCGGGCGCCCGCTGATTCTTTCCGATGCCGCCGGCTGGACATCTGCGTCGACGCTTTCCGTCGGCAGCACGGCTCGGACGCACAATTTGCGCCGGTGCGTCGAGTGCAACCGGGAGCAAGTCCTTGGCCTTGATCAATCGAGGCTGATGTTTTCGCGCTCTTGCAGCGGAACAACGGCAGCAGGGGTACTACTGACTGTAGAAAGAGCACGATCTGAACCGAATGCGCTGTTGGTGCGATCGGCCTGTCCATGTGATCAACGTGTGCCCCGACGCAACGTTCCTCATTGAGCCGCCCCGCGTGTGATGCTGAAAGTCGCGCTAACATGCGGTTCCGAAGCGCATGTTTTTCAACACGGCGATCGCCACCCTACATGTCACGTAACACCTGGCCAACAACATCGGCTGCACAATCCTTGCATGTCTGCGCGCCTGCAGGCCAATAATCCATCGGGAACATGGCATACCGCCTGCTGCCTGGACCCCGCTCAGACCAAACACAATGCTTCAACTCGTTCACCAATCCCGCACGCATGGGCTCTGGCGTTCTTTCCCGGAGCGCAGGAGCGGATGCGCTCCGCACGTCTACAGCGCCCGCGCCAACCTCACGGCCCTCGCGGTTCAGGTCTGCAGATGAGTACTTTATTAGTGAATTTAATGGGTTTTAGGGTTTTTTAACAAGTGGTCGCAGCCACGCAGAGGGCGTGCGTAGCGACGCCCCAAATGCTCGGTCTCCAGTACTTCTACGTGGCGGCGCCCCCGCAGGCACGCAGAGGGCACGCGTGGCGACGGGGGCGTCGCCACGCAGAGCTTTTAAAGACCAAACATTATGAAAACCAATTGTTTCCACTACTAAGCTTGACGTGGCTGACTGGGCCTTCGTCCGCGCCGCCGACCGCGTTCGCGCCGCTGTTGGGCCTGGCACGGTCTGCGCAGACCGCTTCTCGTCCACCGCGACCGTGGGGTCCATTCTCGCGACGACAGCCCCAGTACGGCGCGTGATGTCGCCACTTGGGTCAACGTTCCCACATGGTCCGAGTGAAAACCGTTCGGTCCACTGCCCCTGCCCACTGCTCTCCGGACTCTTTTTTTGTTGCGTCATGAGCTGCGTCTGCGCGCCTTCGGCCGAAGGTGTCTGAGGCCGACCACCTGCGTCTGGAGAGGAGACAGTGTCGAAGAACAGGAGCACGCCAGCTCTTGGCACAGCGGCATTTGCTTCCACCACCATCGGCGCAACCACGTCCAAGAATTGGGCAATCAAGCGCGATTGGATGCGATGCCGCCCAAAGGCTCTCAGCGATGGTGACGACCTGCGTCCCTTCACTCTGGACCTCGCGAGCAAACCGAGAACTTATCAACAGGAGCCAGCAGCAAGTCCGGCCGCGTGGCAACATGCTAGGGCGCCGCTTCTTGCAATCCGCCCCGTTCACGCGTACCTGCAGCGTGATGCACAATCTCTGCAGCATGTCGGCCAGCGGCGACAGAACACTGTTCTTGTCAATGTCCCCCAATTGAAGACAGAACATAAGAAATAACAACGTAGCGCAGTACCAGACTTCAGCGACAACCCACTCGTCACCACTCTTTCCACTCGAGCAAAGACAGGCCACACACCCCCCGCATCCTCAGCCTCCGTCCTCCTCGCTCCCTCTTCCTGCTTCCCACTTCGGCCCGAACCTTCCTGCGTTCATGACGGAGGATCTTGCGATAAGGAGGTGAGGGATGCAAAACGCCATAGCTAGCGTGGGCGTCTTACGGTGCTCCTGAGCCGATATCTGGGAGACGTAAGATTCGGGTACGGGGGACTTGGGTTGGCCTGACGGGGCCATCATTAAAACGACGAGACCCAATCTGAAACTTGACGCGAACTCTCGCTGCAAACATCCGACGAAAACAAGACCGTCAAAAAACCAGGACGCGCTCGCCAAAAATCGTCGTTCAACCCGAATTCCGGCTTACTCGATTCTTACGTTTCCCCGACTATAACTCAAAACTCTTCCGGGAGGGGGAGGGGGGCACCTGTCAGGCAACTGCTGTTTCTCTCGGCGCGAGCCGCACGACACCTTTTCCAGCAGTGGAGCTGTCCGTCGGGGCCGCGCGCTGCCGCTCAGGATGTCCTGTGGCAAGGAAACGACTCTGTGTGTCCTACCGCCGCGTTCCTGTGGAAGCGCGTGCGCTCTTGGGCATCGGGTTGGTCCCCTCGCGAGTCACGTTGTGCGACTTCTTGATCAAACTGCTGGTCTCGCCGGTTGAATCACCATAGCTGCCAGGCCCAACCGACTCCGTCGTGCTGCCCACTGTGGGTGCCCGTCGCGAGGACGCATGCCGGCCGCCGCCCTTCACACGAGACTTGACGGAATCGTAGTTGGGCTCGTACTGCCCAGGATCCGCACTAACCTTTCGGGATACCGAAATTGGTGACCATCGGCACCTGGGGGGATGCAAGGTTTGCTGATCCAAGGGGTTCGGATCTGCAGGACTCCCCCCACAAATGCCAAACAGCATGCACTCCACCACCGCAGACCCTCTCCTTGCCTTGGGCATCTGCCCGAAGTTAGCCGCGGAGAAGCGCTGGTCGCTGGAGCCAAACGAGATGTGGTCCTGGCAGGCCCCATCGGCACTCAGAATTAGTACCTCCCCCCTCCCTCCCTCCCTCCCGCCCTCCCTCCCTGCTGCAACTTCCCCACCTCCTCCCTGTCCTTCTGATCTCTGCGCTCCTCTTGAATTGTCCAATATGACAACTATATGACAACTAACTACTCTCCCCTCTCCACCGAAGATGGCTGCCGCCCCCCTCCGCGTAGTTCCCCCCCCTGCATGTCATCAGTTGCTCTTTCCTGTGTGTGTGTGTTGCAGTCGGAGCGTTTACGGTGTTTCAAGCTGCTGCTGCCCTGCAGCGCTGGCCTCATTTTAGGATCGCCCCTCTGCTCCCATCATTCAGAATGGCGTTCTCGGCCCCGCGCGGGACACTTTTCTGGATCCAAGAGCTACCTCATCGTTGTCGCCTACCCTCGTAGGACATAATGGGGTCCGCTGGGGGGTGCCAAGTCGTCTATGACACCCGTCGGCAGAAACAGAAAAACACGCAATGGGGAGGGCTGGATGGGGTGTGTGGGGGGGGTGGGGTAGGATGTCGTATCTGGCGCGAGGCCACCTACCTTGCCATCTCCTCATCTTCTCCACTTCCCCCTCCGTCCTCCGTCCTCCATCCCCCTCCTCGGCCATATTCTCCCTGCTCCCTCCTCATCCCTCCCCTGTTCCTTCTGATTCTCTTCTTTCTTCAGCCCCCCCCTTCCTCCCCTCCTCCTCCCACTCTTCCTTTTCCCCTTCCTCCTCCCCCTCCTCCTCCTCATCCTCTTCCACCTCCCTCCTCCCTCCTCCTCCTCCTCCTCCTCCTCCTCCTGCTCCTCCTCCTCCTCCTCCTCTTCCACTTTGGATCCAGCGGTGACGCGGCCTCGCCCGCGCGCGCCCCTCTTCAGCCCCGGCACCTCGGGGTCCACGGGGGCCCTCTCGGCCCCCTGGAAGGGCCCGAAGGGGCTCTGACCTCCCCCCACCCAGAGGAGCACAGCTCTCTCAGAGACGCTTTCCCATTCGATTTCTCCTCCTTTGATGGCCGAACGACTGGCCCTCAATGACCGCCAACATTGGATGCCAATCGTACCCGATCACATACATGTGCGATACATTGAGCATACATGGGCCATTCAGTCCCCATTGAAGACCCCCTGTTGCAGACCCCCTCTTTCACCTTCTAATTGATGCTCTTCCGCTCGAGTCGTCGTCGCCGTTGTCGTCGCTGTCGCCGCTCTCCACCTTGCCCTGGGCGCTCCCCCTCAAGCGACCCAGCAAACCAAGTCACGTCGTCATCGAGTCGAAAAGATCCCCCTTGATCCCCCCCCCGTGTGGGGCGGGGTCCTCCCGAGGAATAGGGTCGGCGGCACCGGCCGCAAGGCTTTCGCAATAGTGGAGACGAAAGGTGCCACATGTGACGACCCTCCTCTTCTGGAATGGGCGCGGGGGTTGCTAAGGGGATAAAGGGAGGTCAACAGTGGATGCCAAGGTAGGTTCTAGCTTGACTCACCTAACTTACACGTGGGGTACACATGCCCTAAATGTCGCTGGAGGGTTCGATAACTCCCGTGCGTGGGCGGAGCCCACTTAGCCCAGATCGCCAACCCCAACAAACCACTTGGGGCACTTGTTTAACCCACGTGAATACTAGGTCCGGCCAGATATAACCCACCTTGGCATCCCCCGAAAACTCCCATATTCGGCGGTGGACAAACCTCCCTTTAATAGACCTCCCCTTAGGGAAAAACCTGGGACCGAAACCGACGGACCCGGACCCGCAAAAATGACGCCCGCGACGCCCTCTCGCGAACCGAAAACGGCCAATTCCTTAATCAACTTGTCTCGCGCCCATCCCAACGTTTCTTCTCCCTTCTCCTGCTCGGGCTGGCCCGGGCAGCGCGGCTTCTGCCACCGGGCGGCATTCCTGGCACTCCACCCTGCGGTGCGCGGGCCGACCGCCGCATCCATCGTCGACAGCGGCGCCGCGGCGGCGGCCAGCGGAAGCGAAGGGCGCAGAAGGACGCAGGAGTCCTATGCGCCCCCTTTTGGAGGCGCACGCCCGACTCCTAGCACGAACGCATCATGTTCTGTCGTTGCCCAGGCGGCCAAAGGCTGACAAACAATCGCCCGCCACCGAGCATAGCCGCACTCGTGCCCTCGGGCACGGGTTGGAGTGTCATCGGGTAAAGGGTGAACAAAAGGTAGGCGTGCTGGTGGCCTTGCCTCTGCCGGCGTGCCAGTGGCGCGCAGCCCTAATTAGCTAATTCATGAAGCCGAAGGTGTCAGGCTGGCTGCGGCAGGCCGCCGGCAGTCCAGCCAGCCGCCGAGGAGGGAAGGAGGGAAGAGAGGGGCCGCCAGGCCGCCGATGCCCCCCACAGCCGCCTATGCCGCAGCCCCACCGTCGGGTCCCTCGATCGATCCCCTGAGCCTCAGTTCTCACTCCTTGAGGAGTCACTGCGGAGATCGGAACCCCCCAAACTCTCAAAATCTCCTCGGGCTCGGCGCGGCTCCCCGCGGCTCTCCCCCGACCAGTGGCGCACGACTTCTTCGGGGCCAAGAGGGGCCAAGGACGGGTCAGGAGACCTCCAAGAGCCCGCCCAGACTGTCCAAGGTGGCTCCACGATGGCCCAAGAAGCCGTCGAGACGCCCCAAGAGAGCTCCGAGAGCCTTTCCCACGAGGGCCCCGAAAGGCCAACATAAGTGACCCCCCGTTGAGATTTCAATGCTTTTGGGGTTCTCGACTTTTCGAGCTTCCGATGCTCGTAGACGTCCCCAAGGCGGCTCCCGATGCCTCCAAAAGGGCCCCAAGGCGGCCCAAGAGAGGCGCCCGAGACGGCCCAAGAGAGCCCTACGACGGCCTCAAGAGGAGCCCGAACCGTCAATTCGAGCCGTCCGTCCCAAGATGCCCCCAAGAGGCTCCACGAGGCCCCCAAGAAGCTCCAAGAGGGCCCCAGGAGGGCCCTGAAACGCCCCGAGAGGCCCCCAAACCGCCCCCGAGAGGCCTCAAACTGCCTCCACAGTGTCCCCGAGAAGCCTCCCAGGACCTCCCAACGAACATCCTAGAGGCGATCTTTTAGCATCCTGGAAGGTCAAGTGAGAACAATGGTCAGAAGACTTGCGTCAGACGGTGCACCCAGGCACGGTGGCGGGATGGGCCGAAGACCACTCGATACTGGAAGACTTCTGAGCGCGCGCGGCGCCCCATGGGGGGGGGGAGGGGGGGGCGACGCACACATGGTTTAACCGTGAGCGGGTGATGCTGCCGTGTGTTTCCTTGGAGTCCCGAAACGGTGCGGTGGCAGGCCGTGCGGTGACCTCGACAACCCCCCGAGACCTCACCGCACGGTCCCTCACCGCACGGTCTTGGGACCCCGGAGGCCTCTGTCGCCCGAGGCATCCTCGGAGAGCGACCCGAGTCCCAAAACCGTGCGGTGACCCCGAATCCCCACCGACTCACCGCACGGTGTGGTCACCGCCCCGTTTGGGGGCCCCCGAGTTTCTCTTTCTCCAAACAAGACCGGTCTGCGTGTCCAGCATGCAGCCGAGCCGCACTCCGGGATCCGCGGGACCTACGGGAATGCGGGCCGTCAAATCCGGCCCGCACGACATGTGTTCGGCCCTCCTGTCGCCTTTTGTCTCCTGCTGCTGTTACTCCCCTTCATGTGCCTCCGACGCCGTCCTCGTAAGCATCCCATCGAGGAGAGCCGTAACGACTCCCGAGAGGCTCAGCGTGGGCAAATCGCTAAATTGCAACACGAATGCAAAATACTGATCGCACTGTACAGGTGCAATCTGTGGTCTCAAATTGCAAGAAGGCTGGTAACACGTGGTGAAACTGCTTGGCGGCTAAAGCCAGAATGGCACAACAATGACAACCACTTCATGCTTAGCATTGAGCTGTATAAGCGCAGCACATTGTATGCAACACATACACACCAGCTGCATCGGACCAGCCTTGCTGAACCTGACTACGCAGAACGACATAAATGTAGAACGTAAGCCACACACGATCAACACTGTAAATATGACAAACGACTCAGTCAACACGCATACTACATTTTACACGGCCGAAGCGTGCCTCTGCTAAGATGTGCGCGTGTGCTGCCTATGTCAAACCATGCGACCCAATTGCCAAACGCCAGCATACGGCTCGCAACACATGCAATCTACAGGCCACACTGTACAGGTACCACATGCGAACAAACCTGCCAACTATACAACGTACATATCGCACTGTACATGTTCACATGTAACCAACATTCACAATACCTTTAGATTGAGAAAGTGGGGATCAGATGCGCCCAATGGTAATCGATGCTACTAAAACGATGATCATAACCGCATGCGCGCAGCGGCAGTCGACGCTATATTTTACGCGATAAAATGTACAACCAAGCATGAGGCGACCAACACGAAGGGACGTAGACCAAACCAACACATAATATTAAAGTTACGTGAACGAACGAATGAACGAACTGCCATACGCCAGAGCGCGTGGGCAAAAGACAATGTCAGCCTGATCTCGCCCCTTTGCGGGAGCGACTGCACGTCAGACAGACAGACAGGCAGACAGACAAACAGACAGACAGCAGCCAGGCGCTGAACAGCGCATTGGCAGAAAGGTGCAACATAACGTACCTATACGACCACCCTGCGGGTGATAAGGAGGTGGGGGGGGGGCCATCATCGACATCACCATTAACATCATCATCATCGTCATCATCATCATCATCAGCATCATCATCATCAACGTCGTCATCATCATCACAATCATCATCACCATCATGGCCATCATCACCATCAGCATAGCACAATCGATCTCACATTCGGTCTCACTACCGATATCACAATCGATCTCACAATCGACGTCATCATCATCATCATCATCATCATCATCATCATCATCATCATCACCAACGACACCAACATCATCATCATCATCATCATCATCATCATCATCATCATCATCATCATCATCATCATCATCATCATCATCATCATCATCATCATCATCATCATCGCCATCATCATCATCATCATCATTACCATCATCATCATCATCATCATCATCATCATCATCATAATCATCCACGTCATCATCGGGACACCGACGGGACACCGAAGGGACACCAGCGGGACACCGGCGGGACACCGCGCGGCACCGGCCGCCCGGTCAAGGTTCTTTTGCCCCGGCCGCGCCTCAGCCACACGGGACACCAGCGGGACACCGGCGGGACACCGCGGGGCACCGGCCGCCCGGTCAAGGTTCTTTTGCTCCGGCCCGGCCGCGCCTCAGCCACAGGAGACTTTCTCTCGCCCGCCCACGCAGCTTCGCCTCGCCCGCACGGCACGCACGAACACGAAACCGAAATCGATTTCCCGGTAGGGGGGCTCTCCGTTCCACTTCGATCTCACCCCCCAACCTCCGACTATAAATGACTGAACACTGGAACCACACGGCAATGGCACCACCAACGTCTGACGTTAAATCACAATTCACTGCTACGGCGAAGCGTCCGCATAAAGATCATAAGTCACTGACGTTATGTGAAATCGTGATAGATAATGTTGCAACGTTAGGGGTACTTGGAACACTGTATGTCAACCTAACTTAACTTGACTTCCGCAGAACATTGACAGCTTGCCGTACTGTAACTTGTGTTGCTTATGAACGCGGGCTTAGCTAAATTGATTAGCTCACACGAGCTTGCTTTACGAGCAACGCGACCGCATCATAAAAAAAGCAGCCGTTCAATGGCTTGCAACCTAGTAGTACTAGTTTTAAACACATCACAGCATGTGTTGAGGTCTTGCTAACTTGCTACATGAATTGAAGGACATACCGAAACATACTAGCGTTCCCTGGACCTCCGCAGAACCCCCCATAATTCCTCCTTTTGCTGGGAGGCGCTGGGTCTGAACATCTCCTGTCCCCCAGAGTCCTGCTTCGGCTGCCGGAAGGGCGAGCGGTAAGTGGGCTCCGTCGTGTTGTAGGCGCCCGGGGCCGGCGTGTCCGTGACGCCGAGGCGCTCGCGGGGCCGAGCAGCAGCGGCAGGAGGATCGAGCAGAGAGACAGCAGGAGACCGCTCCACTGCGACTCCGACCCTCGCCATCGCTCGGACGTCCATTCCCTGTGTTTTTGTTCGATTTCGTTGCGTGGGTTTTTCTCCAAATGATCAAGGATGCTCTTCGATGGCCCTCGCCAAAGGAAAAATGCACACGTCCGAGCGATGCCAAGGACCCTGGCCTTGGTCTTCTCGAAGCCGGCCGCCGCTCCCCATGCAGCGCGCTCAGCACCGTGTCCGAGCGGCGTCCAGGCGTGGCGGCGCGCGCACGCGAGCAGGGGGAGAAGCGAGGAGCGGGAGGAGGAAGGGGAGGGAGCGGGAACCCCGAACCCCCGCGCCCCGCCTCCAGCGCTGCCCCCTACTTCACGTCACCCTGCGCTTCGCGCGCGAGCGCGGAGCGTAGCGTTCCTATCTCTGCACCCTCCCGCCGCACACCTGGAAGAACGGGGGGCAACCCTGCGGCCACAGGCCGCGAGACGCGTTGATCCGCGCGCCCTTGCGGAAGCCTCAGGTCCCAAGGGCGTTCTGCCTTCGGTTTGGGGCATCGAGGTCGCCCCAGATCTCCTGGGGGTCCTGTTGAGGGCAATACCTCTAGGGGGCTGTCTGGGCGCAACAGCTCCAGCCACTCCACGGAGTCCCAGCCGAGCCCTGGCCTGGTCCCCGCACAGCGGGGCGTCGTGACTTCAACCATGGCGGGACTTTCTGTACAAGTTAGGGCCCGGGGCTCCTCACGGATACCGATGGGGCACGAGGGCCTCCAGAGAAGGCGGCGAGGCCCGGAACTATGGTGGCGCTTCTTGTTCATGATATCGGGATTTTCCCCAGACGTCGGATGTCTGGGTCTGGCCCGCGCAGAAGAGTACCCCTCCTGCCAGGCGGCGTGCACGTGTGAATCCAAGTGCGAGGAGTCTATGTACCGCCCCTCCCCTCCAGGATGCAGCGTCAGCGTGACGGAGGAAGAACGCAGGAAGAGGAGGGATGAGAGGCGGGGAGCCTCCAGGGGGAGGTGTGGGGTGCAGGAGTGTGACGATGAGGGCCAGGTGGAGTGTGGCGTGTATCCCTGGCGACAGCGGTGGCACGGGCGCTTACCGAGCCCCAGGGCACCGACCATGGCGAGACAGCAGGAGATCCCAACATACATACCTCTGATTATCTCTTCGTGCTCACCCAGCCACTGGACATGCACTTGCGCCTGCTGAACCTCCCACTCCTCGTCCTCCTCCTTCTCGACTTTCTCGTCAGCATCATCCTCTTCCTCCTCGTCCACCTCGTCTCCTCGTCCTCCTCATCGTCGTCGTCGTCGTCCTCCTCCTCCTCCTCCTCCTCCTCCTCCGTCTCGTCCTCCATGTGCGGCCTCACTTGTCGTATGTTCCCGTCGAGGTTGCAAACACCTAGGTTGGCAACAAACGTTGCCTAGGTTCGACCTCTGCCCGCACCTCGCGCTGATTCTTGTGTCAAATATCCCGGAGGCCTCCCGTGCCCCCCCCTGGCCCTGCTGCCCGCGACCAGGACAATCTGATGGGCACCGCCTACATCGGCATGTGAACGGGGGGCAGGAGCATGCACCAAGATGACACCTTGTCCCAGCAGACGTACCACAGATGTTCGGAGCCGAGGAGTGCGACGTCCCTCTTGTTTCGAGCTCGTCCCTCTTACCGATGTTGGCTGCATATGTGGCCCTCCCGGGCTGTCCGAGGCAATCTCGAGGCCGCGTGATGCAACACTTGTCGGGCTTTCACGTGGACGCTGGCGGGGGTCTCGGCGGAGCTCCATCGCCTTCGGGATGCCGGGACCAACGTTTCGGGTAGCGCGACAATCAAGCCAAGCAATGGGGCGCGGAGGAAATGGAATCCGTCGTTAGGGGAACAAAAAGTGGCATAAACAATAAAAACTCGGAAGTCCACGCGGATACCTCGGATCGGCACTGGGGCCCCCCGGCGGCGCCTCCGGCGCCGCGGGTCCAGCGCCGATCCGAGAAATCCGCGCGGACCTCCGAGTTTTTATGTTTATGTCACTTTTTGTTCCCCATATCCCCGCCCTCGCCCCCCGGAAGGCCGCTGAAATCGAACGTCCACGGTCACATACCCTCGTGCTTCGCGCTGCACGGAGCGCGGATCTCTTCGCGGCCGGGCGGCGCCCTCCGAGGCCCAACAACTCCTGGGCCTGGTAAACAGATGGCCCCAGTGGGACAACCAGGGAGCGCTTGTCCCCGCAAGCACGGGGGCTCCCCAGATCTGCGACACCACTACTTTTTCCCTGCTGCCGAACTGTGCTCTGGGAAGGTTCTGGGCGCCACCTGGTCCGTCCTCGCACGCCGCACGAGAGGTGGTGCGGTGCGTTTCGCCTGAGACATCCTCGCGAATCTGAAATCCGAGATGCCGCGCGCGAGGTGGTCCGTCCGGTCTCGCCGCCGACATCCTCGCAGCTCTCGGCTCCACAACGCCGCGAGTGAAAGAGTCCAGCCCGTTTCGCCTGAGACTTCCTCGCAACCCTAGGCTCCGACACACTGCTTGCGAGCTGGTCCGGCGCGTTCTGCGTGAGATATCTCCGAACCTCTGGTCTCCGAGAGGGAGCAGGGCGGATGGGTGAGGGCCCAGACCCAAACGAACTCTGTGAGGCTCTATGTAAATGTAAATGTAAGTGTGTGTATATATATATATATATGTGTCTATATATATATATATGTATATATATATATATATGTATATGTATATAAAAAAGATCCGCCACCGTGCCGCTGGGTACGAGGTGGGCTTGCCCTCAGCTCCTTTGCCCAATCTACTGAGCCCGGGCCCCAGCCCTCACTCCTGAGGATTCTTTTCTGGCCCCAGACTCCAAATTCTCAAATCTCCCAGGGAGCGCTTTGCCTGGAGTCCAGGGGATTTCCCCGCGCGACTCTCTCGAGCCCATGAAGGCCCAAACACTGGTCACGAGGGCCCCAAGGGGCCCCCAAGGTGGTCCAAGAGGGCCCCGAGTAGTCGAGCGAGCGCTCCAAGACCTTCAAAAATAGCCCCCCGGCGGCCCAAAAGGACTCCAAAACATCTCAAGGCGCCTCCAAAATGCCTCCCAAGAGGGCACAAAGATGCCAAAGTCACTGGCTTCCTTTAAGGTTTTGAACAGTTTGGGCGTTCTCGCCTTTCGGCTTCCCGATGCTCCAAGACGGCCATGGAGGCCCCCAAGATCACCCCAACACTGCCCCAGAAAAACCCAAAACGGCCCCTGTGAGAACGCGCTGCTCTTTTCAACCAGTTGCAAGATATACAGTGCTGAATTTGCCCAACTGCCAGGAACTACCCAGGAGTCTTGGAGCCTTGGGCGCTGTGAGCGGTTTGAGCAAAAACGACGACGGAGGCATACAAGATACAAATGCTGTAAGAACCGTATCTTTGCGGTCTCAAAGGCATACAAGATACAAGTGCCACCAGTTCCGTATCCACACGGTCTCTCTTCAAAGTACAGCAACAGCGCTACCCACCAACCAACCCTAGCGCCACATCTGCTGAGCTTGCCCCTAGAGGCTCGGGCCGCTCCTCTGCCGCGCTATGCGAATGCCAACTGGGCGCCGCAGCGCCTGCGACACGTGCGGCGACCAGCGCTCTGCTGTCTCCGCTCCCTCAACGAGGAACCCAGAACATGTTCTTGACAGCTGGACACTGTTTGGCAACATGCTTCCTCTCCATTGATCGTCCTCCACAGCAGTAGGCGTCTTCGATACTGATACAGGCGCTGTCAGGTCCGGAATCGGTCGGGCGACGTGGCCCACCGTTGCCTCCCAATGCCTCCCGTTGGCTCCCGTGGCCTCCCGTGGCCTCGCACTGCCCCTCCCGTGGCCGCCCGAAGCCTCCCGTGGCCTCCCGTTGCGTCCCGTGGCCTTCCATTGCCGTCCCTGTCCCCATCCTTGTCCCGATCCCTACCCAACGTTCCCCATCCCATCCCTCTCCTCCGGTATCCCGATCCTGTGTGTTGCCATGTCCTGTCTCCTTTATGCTCTATCCTAAATGCTCTATCCTCATCCCCACCCCGACCCCTATCCCTATACTCTAACATCCCTAGCCCTATCTCCCGATCCATGACACTATCGCTATCCCGATCCCCCCATCGTGGCGCCGCTTCGTGCGGCCCATCGTGGCCCCATCGCAACTGCGTAAAGCTGGTCAGGGTCTTCGGCCGCAAACGTGTCATGGTCGAACTCTCCGCCCCTTCCCCAGGACCAGCTTCTGACCCCGAGTCGCCCTGGCCCCAAAAACGCACCCCTGACGCAGAAAACTGACGGGGCCCTGGGACACACAAATGAATCAGCACAAACGACAGGATTCCATATATATGTATATATATATATATATTCCGACATCTTCTGGGTTTTTGTCCTCCCCCCACTTCCCACCTGTTCCCATATTTTCTCGGGAATCGACGATTCATTGTGTCTGTGTGTTTTTGTCCCCTCCTGCGCGAGCTTGCCGAACCGCCAAAAATGTCCGGGCCTCCGCAGGTCCCCCCCTCCGAGGTCTGAATGCGGAGGCCCCCGGGAGGCCCCCGCTCGGGTCCGCGGAGGCTCCCGGCTGCTCCACTGGCGCAGAGCATTCTATTAACGGGCGAAGAACGGTATAAAATATTGTTTTTCGCTGTCGGGGGCGCCTGTCCCAGGGCCAGCTGGAAAGTTTATACCCTTACGGTGGCACCGTAGGGGTACAAACTTTCCAGCCGCCCAGGGGCAGGTGTCCCCGACGGCGGAAAGGTTATGTTATACCGTTCTTCGCTCGCAAATTCTATGACATTGCAAGCAACACAGTCCCGAAGCGTCCAGGAACTTCGGCGCCAGATCCTTGGCCATGCAGGGATTTGTTTTTTGATCTGCAGGGCGCGAGCGAGCCTCTTCCGCTAAAAGCTCCGCGGGACGCGCACAGCGTTAATTGACAGAGAGGGGGCGAGGGCGGGCGGGGCCTCACGCGGCCTAGAGCGGGCGGAGCCCGGGGATCAGGCGGTGCCGAACGGGACGTGCAGGAAAAGGTACACCTTGGACAGGAGCCCGGTGGTGAACCATGCAGGGAAACAGGTCCTGAAGGAAAGGGCCCATGGACCCCAAAGGGCCGAACCCCGGGGCTGCCACCCGCAAGCCTGTCTTGTACGCTCCCCGGGGCCTGGGGAGGGCCGCTGGCGCCCACAAGACAAAGAGACACCTCTGAGACCTCTCCTCCAAGCACCCGCCCCCCTCGTGCCGCATACCCCCTCTCCTGGAGGAGCAGTGGGGGCAGCGCGCGCGAGCCTTGACGTGCGCCTCCCGGGGCCCAGCAGGCGTCTCGAAGCGCTTGACCGTCGACCGCATGGACGACTTGGTCTCGACGGCCTCCTCGGGAGGCAAGAGGAAGTGGGGGAAGAGGAGGAGGAGGAGGAGGAGGAGGAGGAGGAGGAGGAGGAGGAGGAGGAGGATTTTGTTGCACTCCTCCAAGCCAACGCACACACACACACACACACACACACTAACACCGCGGCCCGTTCTCAGCAGCAGCAGCTGAGACCCCTCAGGGCGAGAATTACACTCTGCTGCAGGCTGTCCTCATCAGGCCAGTACAGCTGATACCCCACTTCGCAGACAGGCTTGGCCTCGCGGCCTGAGCGCAGCACGATGGGGCGAGAGAGCAGCACAGACAAGATGCAGCCTGAGCCTGAAACAAGAACGCCGTCCAGCACAAGGTGGAGGCCCCCCGCCAGGTTTTCCCACCCTGCCCCCGCGGCCCTTTCAACGGGAGCTCGCGGTATGCGGGATCGGGGGATGCCTTCACGAAAGGGGGACCTCAGCACCAGGGCTGCCAGGCAGAGAGAGGACAGGTCAGCCAGAATCATCGGATAGCCGACGGCAAAGAACGTGTTGGCTGAACGTCCCCTTCTTGCCTGAGAGCCTCGACGAGCTCGGCGCCCGTCTTGGGGTGCTGACCTGCGCAAAGCTGTCTCCATGCATGGCGGCGCCGTGGCCCCGGTTGGCCTTCGTCGGCAGGCCGACACACCGCTTGGCCAGGTTACGAACCTGGCCGCCGCTCGTATAGTACTTACACAACAAGCATGCGAGGAGGATTCCATCCCCTTCGCAGTAGTCTAGAACCAGTGGCTTGTGCTTACTCTGAGGCAGGGACTCCCCCGTGAGACCTTTGATGTCGGGGGCTCCTCGGTAAATACTTGTTGCAGGCCTCGACACAGCACGGGAGGTGCGCCAACAGGTCGCACAATGCCAAAACCTCCATTCCGAGTGCCAATCATGGTCGGGCCCTGGGGTCGGCTTGGGGGGCGGTGTAGGCTTTAGCGTAAACCCAAACGTGGGAAACAAACACACAATTACATAAGCCGCTAGCTGGCAAACAAGTCTAGCGAGGAGTTCAGCTAGCAGTCTCTTGTCCATTTCAGAAGCAGACGGCTGGGGGTGACGAGACACTGGTTGGCGAGCTGCCAAATCGGCTAGGCCGCCACCATTCTTGAAATACTTCATCATCAGTGAGGTCTGGCATATATTTTTGGTGCCCTTCACACTTGCGCACGTCCCCAGAGCCTGGCCCAGCGTCAAGAGCATGAGCCCAGCGTGCGGGCGACGATAGGAGATCCCGGTAAACAAGTGCTCCAAAGCTTGGCGCACCGCGTTCAGCCAATCCGAACCAATCTGGGCCCCTGGTGCTCGACACTGGGCAGCAATGTAGGCAGCAAACTCAGCAGCCGAAGGAGTCTGGGGAAAAGAGCCCATAAGAGGCCCCGATATGGTGGCTAGATGAATGCCTTGAGAGTCTACAAGGATGACCGCCCAACCTGCCCTGAAGAGCTCTGGGGAAACCTCTCGGGAGCATGAACTATCCACGAAGATGTGCCCTGCCAGGACCGTCGACTGGAGGAGGAGGAGGAGGAGGAGGAGGAGGAAGAGGAGGAATAATAAGAAAACGAAAATGAGGCGCACCTCTCGGGAGAAGGAGGAAAGGGAAGCTCCAAGTCCCCGCAGGCACGCCGCCTGGCTGCGGGCCCGGCCTTGCGCGGCACGGCCGACGTCTGGCCGAAGAAGCCGTGAGGCAGGGGGGAGGGGGCGAGACGGAGGACGAGGCCGCTGCCGGAACCCGAACGGGCAGGGGGACTCCCGGACGCTTCACGGGCTCAGGAGGGCAACCAATGTCGCGCAAGAGTCTGGACCGTCTTGCTCCTCCTCGCCGCCACACTCGGGCGGGCTCCAAGTAAAGGGATCGTGCACTCAGTGGGAGAAGCGTGCGCACGAAACATGTGGTAGGCATTATGGACGAGGTCGGGAGCAGCAAAATTGGAGTAGTAGCTTCTGGTGGGTCTAGGAAAAAGGAGGGCATCAGGGCTGGATAAGGATCATCACCCAAATATCCAAGCAACCATGGGAGCAACTGCCATCAGGACTGGGCAGCTGCAATACTGGATGAGGTCGTCTCCCCCGACCGCTCGGCATCCGAATCCATAGGTCAAGCCCCCCTTGTAGGTACATCCTGGACGTGTTCCACCCGTTGAACAAGGATTTGCAAACTCCTGTGGCGATGAAGTCTGGCATTTTCTTACAACCACTGTTGAGCCTGAGGATGGTGTGGGTTCCCGGGGCCCCAGGAGAGGGTACAAGTTCATTAGCCGTGGGCGAAGAAGATCAAACATAGAGAGGACACACTCGGCAACTTCTTGCTCGATGACTTTCGCCAGCTTGTCCTGCACTCCTTTCGGGGAACACTCGAAAGCGGGGTGGATCCTGTGGAGCCTTTCACTCCCATCGGACATCCCTTGTACGAACGAGTGCTGGACAAAGCGGCTTGCCCTCCACGCAATCATGGACAGCTGGTCCTTCAAGTCCAGAAAGCACGAGAGCTGATGGCGGCTCGGCGAAGTAAAGGGACACATGGACAGGAAGATGGGGTGGAGGAGGACATGAAGGAGGAGGAGGAGGAGGAAAAGGAGGAGGAGGAGGAGGAGGAGGAGGAGAAAGGATAATCATTAAGAACAAATCTCGACGGCCACCTCACGGGGGCGGCGACGGCCTCGCCACGCTCCGCGCCCCCCAGGCCTCGCCTCGCCCGAGACGCGCCAAGGCCTTGCTTGGCCCGCGAGGCGTGCCCACGTCCCGCCCGGGGGGGGGGGCGTGCATCATCTGTGTGGGTGCGCACGAACTCTGGCGTTGCCGCCAGCCTGCGTCCAACAAGGGGCAAACCTTGGCAGCGGCTCGCCGTGAGAATGTCCGCGGGGCTGTCTTTGAGGCAAGCTGGCCCGCAACTGGGGTGAGCGTGCACAACCTATGGATGCACGAAATCTGGCACTGCCGTCAGCCAAAGTCCAAAAAGGGACAACCTCGGTTATCGGGCAGACGCGGGAATGTGCAGGACCACCAGCTTGCACATCCCCACGAGGACGAGGAGGAAAAGGAAGAGGAGGAGGAGGAGGAGGAGGAGGAGGAGGAAGGGGATTCCCACGAGGAGGAGGAGGAACAAGAGCAGGAGGCCGATGCCCGCGGGCGGGCCAGGATCGGAGGGGTCGGTCATGTGGAGTTGCTCCCTGGCGGGCCCTGATGGGCCCGCGCCGTCTGTTTTGACGGCTGCCCGGCGCCTCCCTCGCATTTGGTTTTTTGGGTTCCGAACCTCCCCTGCATGCGAATGAGGTAGTACCCGTGCTGCTCTAGAGCTTGCGAAGAGGAGAACGCCAAGGATGATGATGATGATGATGATGATGATGAGGGTGATGCTGATGATGATGATGATGATGATGATGATGATGAAGATGATGATGATGACGATGATGATGCTGATAATGACTGTTTCGCTTTGTTTCTGCCCCGATAAGACTCCTTGCCCGCCGCGTGACACAATCGTGAAACTAGTTTAACAAGCTGGAGCCACGGTCGCGAAGCTCGCGATGCAAATGCCCTCCCAAAATCCGCGGGAGGCCCACTGCCCACTCCCAAATAACACAACGTGTGAGAAGAAACTCCTGTCACGAGGCGCGTGCCCCCAAACTGGCACGGGGGCGGCACTAGAAGCAAGATGGCCTCCACCGCCCGCAGTCCAGCAGGGCGCATCCAGACACGTGAACGTCGCCCACTGCTGCACAAAACTCCAGCTCATGACTCGATCCCTCGGCAAAGCTTCACACCATCATTGTTGCTCGAAGCGCGCTCCCCCGAATTCGGTGCTGGCGGGATCGCCGAAAAGAAGACCTCTCAGCTGGGGGCCGCGAGCAGCACGACCTGGTCGCGCTCTGCCCTCAGCGCGCTCGCCCACGCGGCGAAGCCCATTCCCGTCATCAGGATGCTCGCCACTGCACTTCTCATGCTTGTGCAGATCCGACGCTTGGCTCCTGGAGATGCGTAGATCCGACGGTCGTCTCGGCCCAGGGGACTGTGCAGACCCGACGCTTGGCCTCTGGGATCGTGTAGATCCGGCTGTCGGCACCTTGGACTGTGTAGAACCGACTCTGGTGGCCGTCGCATCCGCGACTGTTCCTCGAACTCCCCGAGCTTCGCGAGGCCGGCCACGAGCTTCCGAATGTTTGGGCTGCGACGAGGAGCCCGGCGCTTGATCACGACGGTTTTCAATGCGGTGGGGGCGATGATCTCGTTCGTGGCGCCCCCTAGCTCGGGAATGACCATGAGCTCGATATTGTGGCGGTCCTTGTCGCCCCGCGCCTTCTGCCGATGCGCATTCTGCTGGTAGCGCGTGAGCACGTGGCCTCGGGTCGCCTCGATGTCCTTCTGGCTCTGATGGTGCGCGATTAGGCGATTAGGGCCTTTTCCTTCACCTGGGGGACCGCCTGGCCCCGCTTCGCGAAGTTCGCGAGCTCGACCCGCGCGCGGACATGAGCTGGCACGAGTACGGCGATCCCTTTCCGAAGACGATGCTGCCTTCTGCTTGCTGTCGTCGCACTCTCGGTGCCCGTCTTGATCGGCTCCAGGAACGGGCAAAGCTCGGCCACGATCGCCACCTGTCCTGGAACTCCCTGCGCCCGCCTGGTGCGCCCGTCCAGGCCCGCCACGTCCTTGGCCGCTTTGATCGCCAGGTCCCTCGCGTCCTGGTCCATGCCCGCCATGCCGACGGTCCTGTGCTTGCTCGCTGGGGCCGCCGATGCCACCGTCGTCACAATGTCCAACTTCGAGACAATGCCAAACGCCCTCGGAAGCGCTGCCAGGAAAATGCGCTCGAACGCGCGCGCGAAGAGCCGAGAGAGATGGGAACGCCGTTGGTGCACGGAGAAACGGGCGCACAAGTGAGGGTGGGAACTGGGGGGTCGCCGAGCCTGAAATCGCAGAGCCTCCTCTCTCAGGACAGCTCGGAGGACCTATTCGCCCTCGAGCCTCCAAATGCCGCCCGCGGGGCGGCATCCGTCTCCGAGAAACGCATCTCGCGCCAGGAACACGGGTTGCATGCGGCCGCCTGCCTCCACCGCGCACGCATGTTATGATGGTGTGTCTGGTGAGCTTCATGCTGACGGAATGCGCGACTTGCGCGCGTGCACCTGCGCCCCGTCCCCTCCGCGAGGTCTCGCGCATGCACCCCAAGACCGCTGGCGATGCTGAGCCGGGGCGCGGAAACAATCTCTCGGCGTCGCAGAGGGCCCCGAAGTCGGAAAAGACGAGTATCCTACCCGAACATACTGAACCGCGCCCAGCCTTCAAGAGCTCCCCGGACACGATGTTCCCCCCGCCCCGGGACAGAAAGATCCCTGCCCCAGAGCTTGAACCAAGGATTCGCATGGCGGGTGGGTTCGCCCTTGGAAGCAATCTTTGCACAGCCATCTCCGAAGCGACCTCCAAGAGCAGCAAGGACAGCAACGCTGTCTAGGATCATTGGGCAACTTTCTGCATCCAGGCAAACCCCCGATAGCGCGACGCATTCTCGGCCGCGGGGGTCGCCGAGATGGGTCGCGCCTGTTCGTTTGACGAGGCAAGGCAGCGAATCGCATTCCTCGGGTCGTCGCATTCCTTGACGCCGGCTCCGCCAATGAGAGGCGCCCGACAATGTGCCCGCGCCGAGCCGGCCGCCTGCGACCATGGAGCCGCGGCGCAGGAAGCCGCGCCCCCCCGCCAGAGAGGTGCGAATTATAGACCAGGCCCAGGAACGCAAGTATATGGACTTTCAGCGGGGCCCCCACCCTGGCCCCAGAAGTGTCGCGCGGCCGCCCGACCGTTTTTAGCCGCCTTCTGTCTCTGCCCGCGCTCGCGATGCCCCCGCCCATCCGTCGGGCGATGAGCCCCGAAATGTCGGGCAACGATTTCCGCCAGCCTGGGGCCCGAAGCTGCCAGAAAAAGAGCCCCCATCTCGGTCGGGCCCCCTCTTCCCGCGCTGCCGAAAAGCAACCCTTTCTTCTCCTGCGTCCGTTTGAGGTCGAGGGGGCGGGCTGCTCGCTGCTCGAGCTGGGCGTCCCGGCGCTGGATTTCCCGCGCGGCCTCGAGGGTCCAGTCAGCTGGACCAGGGCGCTCTAAATCGTCGGCGCGCGCGCCGAAAGAAACGCCAATATCAATCGCGGTCCGGGAAACGGGCCCGCGACGATGACAAACGATTGCTCTTGTTCAGAAAAGACCTGATCGACTCGTCGACGCCCTCGTCTATCGCTGGGTCGAAAACGCGCAGGAAACGATCTGGCGCAGACCGATCCCCCTGCAAGTCACTGCGCCCTGAAACGAGCTTCACCATCCCGAATCAGTCTGCGCCAGGGTCATGGCATGTCGGCGCCTGCCGACCGCGCGCGCAGCATCCGCAACATGCACCGAAAAATGGTGGAGTCGAGAGCCGAGCGGGACACGGAAGCGACTGCGTTCGCCTGATCGTAGAAGGCTGTGGACCACCCCCCGCCTGCTCCGACAGCTGCAAAAGCGCGAGCTTGCGTTGCGCCTGCGCCATGGGGCGTCGAATAACCTGCCCGACGCCTCCAGACAGCCCCCGAAGGATTTCCATGCGGGGTCGAGAAGATGAAAAAATACGCTTTCCTGCACGTTTGATCTTCCCATTGCGCTTGCCTGCGCGACGTCCCTGACCGACTTTTCACGGGATCGGGGTCGCACCTCGGCCAGACATGGGAAAACATTTAACGAGCCAACGCAAGCCCCAAGCTTGTAATTCGGGCCTTCTTCGAGCGCGAGGGGGGCCGCTAAAGCAATGGCCCGGGGCGCCCGAGGCGCGGGCCACCCCGGCGCGGCACGGCGAGCTTTGCTAATCAAATGTCATTGAACTAAACCCCGAAAGTGTCTATCGCAAGCCTGGCGAACCCGCGGAGTGACCCGTGGAAGAGTGACGAGGGCAAGGGAAGAGGGGGCAGTGGAATGACCTGGAAATCCGCCGCCGCTACACAGAGCAGCATGCTGACTGTACCGCTGCGCAAGATCATGCGAGAGTCGACGCGGCCATTCCACGACTGGGTGCGCCTCAGACGTGACGCCTCTACAAAAGCATGACGACCTCCGCGCCCTCCTCGGAGCTAGGATGACGCGCGCGCAGATCCCACCCGCGGGTTGTCGGCGGCGCGGCCGCGAACGCATTATACTGCCTACGCTTGGGGCCTAGACGACTCCCCACAATCAGCCTGCAGAGCTGCCGCGTCAGACGACCATCGCACGCCTGCATGACTAGAGTGGATTTCCTCACCCACCCCTCCCGCCACCGTTTCGACGCTTAAATTTACGGATGCGCAAGCATAGCTCCTTGCACACTTCGTCTAAAGCCGATCCGCGCTCACCCTCGCGAGCCTCCGACAGAAGAATGCGCGAGCGCCGATGTTAAAGTCTCGCTCTGCCCGCGTCTGCAAGTTCCGCCGCTATCGACCTGGATGGGGGCGCGCGGAACATGTCCGCACCAGCGGGTCGCAACATGTCATTGAGGAAGTGCCAGCTGCCATCCACGTCCAGCTGCTCGAACGCGATCCGCAGGAGCTTGGAATGTGAAGCCTCGGAAGCCCAATCGTCCAGGCGCCTGGCAAAGTCGAAGTCGCGTTCGTCCTCCGTGCGACGAGCGTTCAGCATGTTGCCAAACCCCCATATTATGCGACTCTGAACTTCCCAGTGCCAGCTCTGGATGTTGAGGCCCACGACGAGCGAAGGGTAATCCACGTTCGTGGAAGCCTGGTCCGCCAAATGCAACTTGTACCCTGTGCGCCGCCAGACTTGACATTTAGACACGTGCACCAGGGCGTCCTGTGGCAAGGCAATGTCGCCAATCCGTGCCCGACCCTGGCCCTTGAAGAACTTTGAACCTCACCCTCGCTCGAGCTGGGGCCACCCCGTGCCGATTCAACAAGTGCCTATACTGGATGCCAATAAAGCCCTCCTGGACGGCACCACAGTGACCGGCAGAACCCCGAGCCCCATACATGTGCCATTCAGAATTGAAGCGCTCGTGGCCGACATGAAAGCTACCATCCATCAGCAGCACAGAGTACGCCTGGTAGGCAGTTCTTGTAAAACTGAATCAATACAACAAACGGATGATATGCAACATCTTTCGCTCGATCCCATCCCTGGGTGGAATGAAGGAGTACACCGATGCAAAAACATTTGTCAAACTTACCACGCCATCTGGAACGAAGTGATCCCCCTCGTCCTTGCAGCGCCCCTGGTGGACGCCACGAACGAACGAAATGAGCTCGCCCAAACATTCGTTGGCGCACCGCGATGATACAGCCCGTGGAAATACTAGTACCAAAAGCCAAGTCCTGTCGCCATCGCCGTCGGGCCCGTCCTTTAGAAGCCGAAGTTGGCCGGTGGCATACATCGAAGCCCTTCAACGAGATCCAGATAACGAACCATCATAAGAAGCCTTTTACTGCGTCTGGCCCGTGCCTGTCAGACTGATGGCGTGGGCATTGGAGAAGGTCTCGAGGATCTCAACCAAGCCTCGCTTGAGCGGAAGTGCCTGCGGGTTATTCTGAACGAGCCGCAAGCGATGCCGAGGAACAGCAGTGGCCATGAATAAGCTGGATGCCAGCAGGGCCCACAACATGCGGCGGGACTCTCTACTGCAATCCGCCTCGCGCTCCTCTGGTGCGATTGAATCCCCCCCTTCCTGAACATTCCTGGCTCGGGCCGAAAAGGCTGATGATGATGAAGACGATGATGATGATTCTGATGATGATGCTGTTGATGATGATGGTGATGCTGGTGATGCTGATGATGAGGAAGAGAAGGAGCATTCACGGTAGGACGAGAGGCAGAAGGGCGAGGATGGGAAGGAGGGGGAATGGACGCGGAGGAGAAGGGCGGAGGACGAGGCGGTCTCCATCCTCGATGGACGAGCGTGGAGTGGCCCAGGCCACGGCTGCGGTCTCCACGTGCGGGGACAGGGCGCTGCCCTTGAACCGGTCCTGGCAAGTGCCGAACACGCCCTTGCGACCGACCTTCCAGGAGAGACGCTATTCGGGGATGGACAGACCTCCCTTTAGCAAAACGTGGTTTAGTGAAAATAACCTGAGGCCCAAACCTGGCGGGCGCAAGCCTGGAAAATAACGGCCGCGGCGCCCTCTCGAGAACCGAAAGCGGACAATTCACTAATCGACGTGTCACTGTCGGGGGTTCTGTCCACCCCCGAGCTATGCTGCTTTACAAACCTCCGGCGGCTCGAACAAACCGCGCCGGAAGTCCACCGCCGGCCTGGGCCTCCGAGCCCTATAGGGCCATCAGAAGATCGATGATCTTCAGAATTTGCGCAGGGACCGACCGTCCAGGCATTCCTATAGTCCTACCACGAAATGTTCTCAGAACCCCCAAAAATGTTCTAAGAACAAAAACAATGTTCTTAGTACATAGATCCGATGTGTTCGAACAAGACAATCTCAACCAGAAATGTTCTAAGAACATTTCGTGGAAGCCACAAACAAATCTCAGAACATTGTTTGGTAGGGCTATAGGCACGCCGGGACGCTTCGCCACTGCTTGAAGAATGCGTTTCAGCGCCAGCGTGTGTTCGTCCGCCGAGGCCCTCGAACGCGACACGGGCGGCACAACGAGGGACGACACGGGCCGCGCGCCATCGGCGAAGCCGAACGGGGTGAAAACACACGCTTGGGCTGACACGCGCCCTGAGGGCCATCGAGAAGACGGCTCGGGATGAAAAGGCCGGTCCCAGATCGGCGACTCCAAGGGTGTGGTTTGCAAAGGGTGTGGTTTGCAACCGGCACCCTGGGGAACATCCTGGGGGGCACCCTGGGGGGCGCGCCGGGACCTCGATAGAGTTCTCCCGCGCCCCGAGGCGGCCCGACGAGGACAGTGTCGTGCCCCCCCGGGCCCCATCGGTGCCAATCGCAAACCACACCCCGGCGCAACCACACCCTTTGTAGTCGCCGACCGGAGGGGGGGGGCCGAGAGCTCCAGGGGCCGGCGACTCGAACGACGTCGAGCGGGTGGGAGGTCAGGGGCGCTGGCCCCCGCTGGCCGCAGCTCGGGGCACCTGGTCGTCTTGGCGGAGGAGGCGGCCCCCCTGCCCGGCCTGGCGGGCGGCGGCCACCAACTGGCCATCGCTCGGACGTCCATTCCCTGTGCTTTTGTTCGGTTACGTGCGTGGTTTTTTCGCCATATGATCAAGGATGCTTCTCGATGGTCCTCGCCGAAGGAAAAATGCACACGTCCGAGCGATGCCAAGCCAACGGCCAGGCCCAGATCGTCCTGTGGAATCGCGGTGGCGGTGGAATGGTTTGCCTCTCCCGAGGCCTTGCCCTTCTCCCGCAGCATCGACACCATGGAAGTGCCTCGCGCCCGATCAATCTCGTACTGGGCGGGCGATGGTGGGGAACTCCCCAGGAGGTACCCGGAAGCACCCGCCCTCCGTGTACACTTGTGCACTCGTCCGCGTCCACCACTGTGCCGACGATTTCATCACCCCGGGGAGTCCTGAGAACCGACGTCCTCCTCAGCATCTCCCTCCTCCTGCTCCTCGTCCTTACCTTCCCCTCCCCCTTAGGATGTACACCCTGAACACCGGCATCCTCTTTTCCGCTGGCACAGTCGCACAATGCGTTGCACTGCATTGCACTGCGTTCCTCTTCCTCCTTCCGCCCCCCTCCTCCCCCTCGAAGTCAATCCTCAGCATCTCTTCATCGTTCCTCCACGTCCTCACTCCGATCCTCCCATCTCCCCCTCCTCCTCCTCCTCCTCCTCGCTTGTCCTCCCACGCCTCCTTCCCTCATCCCCCTCCCCCTTTGCTCCTCCCTCCTCCCTCCTCCTCCTGCTTCCTGCATACTCTTCCTTCTCCTCCCTGCTCCCTGCTGCCTCCTCTCTCCTCCTTTCTCCCCCACCCCTCCTTCCTCACTCCTCCCTGCTCATCTCTCCTCTCTCCTCCCGCGTCCCTCTCTCTTCTCTCGTCCCTCTCTCCTCTCTCCTCCCTCCTGCCTCCTCTATTCCTCCTCCCTCCTCTCTCCTTTTCCTCCTGCTCCCTCCTCCCTCCGGCCCTCTCCCTCCTCCCCCCTTACCCCCCTCCCTCATTTTTCTTCCCTCCTCCTCTCTCCTCCTTCGTCCGTAAACTCGACATGTGGCAACGCCTGAGGGCGGGAGCCTCGCAAGCCCAACGGGCCAAAAGCGTGCTAAAATCTTTGGCAACAACTTGCCGGGCAAAAAAAACATGCAAATCTCTGACAATTTCTGGGCGATCGCCATCGCGGATGCCGGAACTCCCGGGGCCTTCAGGGCCATCTACATCGTCTCAAGAAGCCCCCAAAGCGGTCTAAGAAGGCCCGGAATTACCGGAAGTCGTTCCAAGGTGCCAAGGACGCCTGGCCATGCCTCCAAAAACCACTCCCAAGAAATCCCCATGAAAGCAAATTTGAAAAATGTCCCATAGGTTTTTTGAAGATTTCAACGTTCTCACCATTTCGGCCGCCGACGCTCTAAGACGGCCCAAGAAGCCCCTAAGATCGATCCAGGACGGCCTAAGAGGCCTCCAAGAGAACCCCACCGCGGCCGAAGAGGGTCCCAAGACGGCCGCGGAGGCCTCCAAGACGACCAGAGAGAGCCCCGGGACGGCCCCAAGAGGGGCTCCAGAAGGAGGAAGCCGAACGGGCCTTTCGAACCATCGGCCCCGAGAGGCGCCCAGGCTGCCCCGAGTCCCAAGCGGCCCCCAAAAGCTCCCCAAGAGGACCCAACAGGCCCCCAAGAGGCGCCAAGAGAGCCCCAAGAGGAGTCCAAGTCGCCTCCGCCCCCTGGAGCGCCCAAAACTGCTACATAGGAGCCCCCGGATAACCCTCGGAAGAGACGCCAAAAGCATCCATGATGACTCTCACCCACAACAGCAGCGCCGACCAGCAGCGCATGGCCTACGAACGCGCACGCAAACGCCAACGATGGTACAATACGGGCCGGCGGAATGATCGAAGTGAATAAGCCTTTTCCAAACAAGAACGGGAAGCGCCGTTATTTGGTTGCGGAGCTCGTTGGGCATATGTTGAGGACAGCGTGAAGGACGTCGAGCACAGAGGAAAAGAGCAGGATTATCATGAGGTGGATGGTAAGATAACGACGTGGAGTAAGAGAGTTGAGAAGACGAGCGCCAGGCAGAAGGAATGATCATACTAAGGAGAATGTGCAGCAAGAGGAGGACGAGGATGATGACGATGCGGACCACGAAGACGACGACGACGACGACGACGACGACGACGATTACGATGACGAAGACGACGACGACGGCGATGACGACGACGTCGACGACCGCTTTGTCCAGCGGGACTTCGGGGGCTCTCTTGAGCCGTTTTGAAGCCCTCCGGGACAGATTCAAAGGTAATGCTGGTTCGGGGTCTCCTCTGTAGCCGATTTTTTGAGGATGTCTCGAGCAAAACGGCCACGTTCCTGCAACCCGCCAGCGAGGTCCCCGATGGACCCGGTACCCCGTCTCGGCGCCATCTTGGGCCGTCTTGGGGCTTTCTTGGGCCGTTTGGAGGCCTCCCAGGGCGCTCCCGGGAGTCGTCATCGTCGTCATCGTCGTCGACGTCGTCGTCGTCTTCGTCGTCGTCGTCGTTGGTCGTTGGTCGTTGGTCGTTGGTCGTTGGTCGTTGGTCGTTGGTCGTTGGTCGTTGGTCGTTCGTCGTTCGTCCTCGTCGTCGCACGCGAGCCGCCGTTGTTCGAGAGGGCCCCAGAGCGCTCGAAGACGGCCCAGGAGGCCCCTGGAAAGAACCCGAGGAACGTCGATATGATTTCGATGCCCCCCCCCTGGAATAACACAGGCCTCGTGGGGGCCGTGTTCGAGCCTCTTGGGGCCTCTTCTGGGCCTCTCGGGGGCCACCTGGGGGCGTCTTGGGGGCCTCTTTTGGGCCTCCAGAGGCCTCCTTGGGGCCTCTTGGGGCGGAAGGCTTGACTTGTCGGTTCGTGATCCCCCTCTTGGTGTCTTCTTGGGGCCGTCTTGGGGCCCTCTTGGGCCGTCTTGGGCGCCTCTTGGGCCGTCTTGGGGCCCTCTTGGGCTGTCTTGGGGCCCTCCTGGCGGCTTGTTGGGCCATCTTTGGGCAGCCTTGGGGGCCTGTTGGGCCCTCTTGGGGCGGCGGAAGCTCGAAAAGGCGAGAACCCCCAAAATAGCTAA